GGGGTGGACATTGGGGCGAGGCAGGCATCAGGGAGGGGTGGGCATGGGGGACAGGTGAGCATGGGGAAGCGTGAGGGAAGGTGGACATCAGGGAGGGTTGGGCAGGATTGGCCAAGGCAATGGACTTTTGGTCCCTCCTCTTCCTCCGTGTGCACCTTGACTGCAGTGTATAGACCCACTCTGTGCACACGCGGCCAGCAGCCACCTGTGGTGGTTGAGCACTGGAAGTGTACAGAGGATCTGAGTAACCTTTTAGTATTAAAGACCTGACCTGTTGATACTTCACTACATGGTCTGAGGACTCATTCAGCGCTATTAGAAAAATTTTAATTCCATGTGTGCTCATGTTGTGTTTCTCTGGGACATTCCTGACCCAGGCGCTCTCCTGGTCTAGACCCCAGAAACAGCACCCCTTGTAGACCTGTCCTCATCCAGATGAGCCTGTGCACGCTGCACCCCTGCCTGCAGGCACCTCAGCCATCTCAGAGCTGACAGTTTCTCCGGAAGGCAGGGACTGGACCAGTCGGCACAGGAGCTCATGCTGTGCATCTGCCCCTCCTTCCCTTCACAGAGATGGTCTCCAGTGGGGAGCTCAGCCCTCCTCCCCTGCCAGAGCACAGTGGAGATGTTCAGAGCCCTGTGCTTGACCTCCTCAGACTGGAGTCCCCGGTGGCCCTGACCCCGGCGTTGGGAGGGAGCAGAGCCCCACGGCTCTCTTTCAGCCCAGGAGCCCACTCTTAAGGTGTGGGACCTTGACCATAGCGTGTCCCAACCCCAGGGTGCCCACATCCCCACCCCAGTGCCGTGCTCATGGTGGCCAGGCATTTGGGCAGACCTGCCTGCCTGCCAGTGGTGCGGACGTTCACGCACGCCTGTCCACACTAGGTTGCTGGCGCACGTGCGCTGCCAGAACCACAGGCCAGGCCCGGGGCCCCAGGGTGATACAATCTGCTTGCAGCCAGGGCCACTTGGCACCTGTTTCTAGGGAGAGAGGCTGAGAACCACCCCTGAAACTCACTGCTGTTTCTCCTGGGGATGGAGCCAGGAACGGGAAAAACAAAACTGCGTCCAGGTCCCAGTAACCACGTGTCCAAGTTAGCTCAATCCACACTGACCTCACTCCTTTCTAGTTTCTGCCTGATCTTTCCTTTGATCTTCTAAGTGTTCCCTCAGGGAAATTATGCCCCACAGGTGTGAGCAGGTGTCAGGGGCACCTGTCATTGCCCTCTTCCCACCTGTGCCCAGAGCTTCCCTGTCTCCTCCTTCCCCCTCCCCTCCCCTGCCCCCTTCTTCCTTCTCCATCCCTTCTCCTCTC